ACATTCAAAATAACAGAACCTCGAATCCTATACACGACATTGCTTTCACCGTTCTTCGGCGAGTCAATTCGTGCGGTGGATGTTACTTTTTTTTCGCATTACTCCGATTTTCTAGAGCTAAAAGTTCAAAATTTACCATTTTAAATTACTGAGATTTGGCACAGTCGGGTCAGTTTAAAATTACAGACAATTTTGTATTTGCCGAGTTTCAACACACATAATTAAATGACAATCTCTTCCTTTAAAAAAAACTGACCTTATCCGCTTAGAAGGTTAGAAACGTACGAAATTTTTAAACCCATTACAGTTATCCACACAATTGAAAAAGATCAGTTACATATTTATTACGTGCGAAATTCATTAAAATTTTATCATCGCTGCTTTCAGCTTTGAGATGGGGTGGGTGGGTTTATATTTTGCCTGTTTTTTCTTAATATACATAGTCATCTTTTCACAACAAGAAACTTAAAACACAGTTAAAATGGTACATTTTGCAAGAAAACATTGATTTTGGAATTATGGGGTGGAGCTTAATTGCAAAATCGATATTTCCTTATACAAATTTTAGACATTTTTAATAATTTAATTTTTCTATTTTTCGATTTTTCAATGTTCTGAGTTTATAATTTTTCTTTTTTTAATGTTGAAATTTTTCAATGTTTTTTGATTTCAATTTTCGATTTTTGAACTTTTACATTTTCTAATTTTTCGTTTAGATTTTCAGTTTCATGATTTGCCAATTTTTCGTTACCCTAATTATCGATTTGCAATTTTTCTAGTTCTCATTTTATATTTACAATAATGAAAATATCTGCATAATAAAAAAAAACTTTTTTAATTTTACGAGTTTAGTTTTTTTACATTTTTCGATTATTTTTCAGTTTTTTATGTCTTCAAATTTTCGATTTTTCAAAGTTTCGATTTCATAATTTTTTGTTTCTTCAATTTAAATTTTTCTAATTTTTCGTCTCTTCAATTTATCGATTTGTAATTTTTCAAATTTTTTATTTTTTTTGTCTCTTCAATTTTACGATTTTCAGCTCCTCCGAGTTTTTATTTTTAAATTTTTCAGTTATTCGATTTTCCAAATTGTGGATGCAATTTTTCGATTTCTTCATTTTTCATGTCTTCAATTTTTCGTTTCGGATTTTTTTTTATTTTCTCAAATTTTCGATTTTTCAAAGTTTCGATTTTATAATTTTGTTTTTCAAATTTCAGATGTTTCAATTTTTTGTTTCTTCAATTTTTCGATTTACAATTTTTTTAATTTTTCAAAAAGGCAAAATGTAAGCCCACCCACCCACCCCGTCTCAATTGTGATGATTTTTTTTATTCTTAAAACACGTTTAAAATGGTAAATTTTTGTTCGAAAATATCGAGTTTGTAAATACGCTCCGCCCCTCTGTCTGACAACGAATGAAAAATTCATCACGATTGGGGTGGGGTGGGCGGGCGGGGTTTGTATGTCACTTTTTTTTTTCTTAATATACATAGCCATTTTTTCACAATAAGAGACTTAAAACACAGTTAAAATGGTACATTTTGCTAGAAAACATTGATTTTGCAATTATGGGGTGGAGCTTAATTTTTATCGCCCTTATTTTGTCAATTTTTCGTTTTTTCAATGTTCTGAGTTTATAATTTTTCTTTTTTCAATGTTGATGTTTTTCAATGTTTTTTGGATTTGAAATTTTTCGCTTTTCAATTTTTCGATTTTTGAACTTTTACATTCTCTAATTTTTCGTTTAGATTTTCGGTTTCATGATTTTCCAATTTTTTAGTTTCCTTAATAATCGATTTGCAATTTTTCTAGTTCTCATTTTATATATGTAATAATGATAATATCTACATAATTAAAAAAAAAACATGAGTTTAGAATTTTTACATTTTTCAATTATTTTTCAATTTTTTATGTCTTCAAATTTTCGATTTTTCAAAGTTTCGATTTCATAATTTTTTGTTTCTTCAATTTAAATTTTTCTAATTTTTCGTCTCTTCAATTTTTCGATTTGTAATTTTTCAAATTTTTAAATTTTTCAGTTATTCGATTTTCCAAATTGTGGATGCAATTTTTCGATTTCTTAATTTTTCATGTCTTCAATTTTTCGATTTGTAATTTTTCGTTTCGGATTTTTTTTATTTTCTCAAATTTTCGATTTTTCAAAGTTTCGATTTTATAATTTTGTTTTTCAAATTTCAGATGTTTCAATTTTTCGATTTGTAATTTTTCAAATTTTTAAATTTTTCAGTTATTCGATTTTCCAAATTGTGGATGCAATTTTTCGATTTCTTAATTTTTCATGTCTTCAATTTTTCGATTTGTAATTTTTCGTTTGGGATTTTTTTTCTTATTTTCTCAAATTTTCGATTTTTCAAACTTTCGAATTTATAATTTTTTGTTTTTCAAATTTCAGATGTTTTAATTTTTTGTTTCTTCAATTTTTCGATTTACAATTTTTTCAATTTTTCAAAAAGGCAAAATGTAAGCCCGCCCACCCACCCGATCTCAATTGAGATGATTTTTTTTATTCGCCGTGAACCAAGAGCTTAACTGCCAAATACTTTCTTTTTACAAAAAATTAAAAATATATTTTTGAGTATCGTATTGTTCAAAGAATACAATGTGTATTAAGAAAAAAAGACAAAATAAAAACCCCGCCCACCCATCCCATCTCAGTTGTGATAATTTTTTTTATTCTTAGAAACTTGTATTTTTATTTTTTTAATATACATAGCCATTTTTTCACAACAAACTTAAAAGATGATAAAATGGTATATTTTTTCAAGGAAATATAAACCCCACCCACCCAGAAGTACAGAAAAGTAGGTCGTCCGTTTTCGACTACCTATCTGGCTGTCTGTATGTCTGCCGTCTTTGTCAATTTTATTAGACAACTGTTTTTCGAATTAAAAATATTGTGTATATGGTAAAGCGCCAACCAAAAACTGTCGAATATTATTAAAATTTTATAAAATAAGATATTTCCAAACTTGTGATTTATGAATCTGTGTTGAATTTTTACCCTTGACATCCAGATTTTTGGAAAAAAAAATCAAAATTGTGGAACATTTTACAATTTAACTTTGAAATTGTACAACCCAAAGCTCTGAAATCTTTCAAATATGCCGCGGTTGTCGTAAGCATGGTGAATTCATAATCAAAACTTATCCCTCCCAAAAAAAGAAATTGAAGGACGTCATCTCAAAATTTTGCTGAATAAATCCTACCTAAAATACGTAAAATACTGTAACTCTTTACTTGTAGTTTATCGATGGATCCACAGTTTTTAATATTACTTATACAGGGTGACACAAAACAATTAATTCAATCAAGAACGACTCACCTATGTATCCCGAAAATGTGAGTATACACTATACAGTAGGTATTGTCATTATTAATATTACCTGCACCTATTCAAAATGACATACGTGTCTTTGATAAAATGTTGATGACGTTATTAGGAAATGTTGTTACGGAAAACCCGTGTTCGTTTGACATTTTTTTTTTTAATTAAATATTGAAATTACGACCTGTTCTGTCAACAAATTCTTGGGCAAGTAGATCACAAATCAAAGAAACCACCGGTATAAGCAAACTCAAGTGAAAAGTTGTCACAAATGTCAATCATAATCTAATTTTCTTGAGTATCTGAATGATCTTACAATTGTTTGATGAAATAAAGAAGCATTAAAAATCTAGTGACAGATTTTAACTAACTTGACGTACGATCTTTCACAATCACCCTGTATATATATCTCAACTGTGGGAAAACAAATTGCAACAAAGTATCAGATCTGAGGAGTCATTACATGTTTAAAAAAGAACTACACATGTCAATGTCATCGTACGTTACGAACAGGTTTATACTCAGTGAATATTCCAAGCTTAATAGCTTATTCATAAAATACAATGTCGCATAATTGGTGGACGTTAAAAAACACTTTTATCGGAGCTCGTAGAATTAAATTATTTTGAAATTTCATTCCTCAATTACGAGATTTCTAATATGTTTTCATTGTTTTGGAATCCGTTAAACAATTAAAGCTCGCTACACAATAGCAGAAGTCCTAATAAATTATACATGAAACTGATAAGCATAAAAAAAGTTATAAAAACATTTTTGAAAAACAATTTTTAGTTTAATTAGAATCAGCTGCTACGTTTACAAAACTACAATTATTATTAATAATTTTGACAAGAAGTGTGGATTTAAACTGCAATTGAACGCATATACATAGTAAAGATCTCCCCATTGATGAAACTCTTTTGCTCGTAGGTGTACAACTCAGAAGTAGTTCACTTTTCCTTCCTCTTTCCCACAAACAACTGCAAAAAAATGAAAGTTACGTGTCCTTTCATGACCGTTTTTTGCACAACAGCCACAACACACCAAACGCCAATTTATCAAACAACTTTTACAAGTATAACAAGAGACCTACTCAAATTCGAAGCGAAAAAAAAAAGCAATAAATCAAGGCAAATGCAAGCGACTGAATTATACCGGAACGAAATTGGAACCAGCAAGGGTATCTTATAATTAAACCCAATTTACATATTAAACCCATTGAACTATTATTTATGGCCCTTAGGGCGCACCCCCGCATCGATCCCCGCCACTGTCTTCCACAAATAAAAAAACCACCGAAATTTTACGCAACTTAATATTTACCCGTCTTTCGAAACGAACAATTTAATATCTTCCTCCAACATCCTGCGAAAACAGCCCCCAGCTGTTGGCTTCCAGAACGACCCCATCAGCGTGGGCTGCGCCTCTTAATTTACTAAAACTTGACATTTGACATTTGTTTTGTTTATCAACGCTGCCAACCCCGTAATTCGCCAGGACCGGCGATTTTTTGTTTATTTTGGTTAGGTTTGGCAAAAAACGCTGTGACACAGATAAAACATTCACGTAAACACCGAAAGTGGCACACAAATCCGCATCAAAACCCGTCACGTGTATTTAAAAACCAAAACAAAGCCCAAAGTTTCGACTTACGGTTGTTCCTGTCGTGTCTGGTGAGAGCCCCGAAATCCATCTTCCTCACGGACTCACCACGGTCTTAAAACGACGAAAAACACGTGTCCATATCTTCCTCTGCTTTGTTTTCCCGGCTCTGTTTATCTTTCTCACTCATCACACGAATAGCCACCACGCCGAAACCCTACGACACAGACGACGCCGTGGACGAACCCCGATCGCACGCTCGTCTATTTAACGAGACCTAGTGACCGTGTCGAGCCGACTTGTCAAACAATAGTTGGCGCGAAATTCGAAACGGACGCGACGCTACCGCAACCGTGAACGCTGGCGAACTGAGAAAAATAAACCGTAAACAAGAACACACCGCGTAGTATCAGTGGTATGCGCACGATCGTAGTAAAATCGCCCCGTCTCGCTCTGTCTGTAGCTACGAGCGCGTAGTTCATTGGCTGGGTTCAAACTTGCGTTACGTCATTTTGTTGAAGACGTCGTGGTTTGCACACGTGGGCGAGGGGGGAGGGGGCGGGCGCATTGATTGCAATGAAATTGGGCTAACGGTTCAGGTGCAAGGACGGGAGACGCCTTGTTTTGCGAATACGGATCTGGCGCGCCTGGACAGTGCCGGATCTGGGATTTTTAGAGCCGGGAGGCCTTGAGACGGATCCTGAACGGGAGCGAGAAGGCGAAGGATGGAGAGAGGATTTATGCGGCGAAGAGAAATTAATGATAAGACGATGTTGTAAACTATTGTTGCACTGGGTAAACAAAGAGCTGCCTGGATTTAATTAAAGCGGGTGCGGGGTGGGGGCGGCACGAGGGGGTTTTAGTTTCGTCTAGATCTATATCTATACAAGTAATTTTTTGAGTTCCACAATTTATAAAAATCCAAACTAAAAAATTTTGTTTATTTTCATTGTAGATGAAGTTGGCCCACTGCCACTGTAATGTAATCTTGAAATTATGGCACTCGAAATTTGCTTTGGTCGAACTGTCATTTCATTTATGGTGGTTATGGAAATTTCCAATGGTTATTAATAAGTCGCTTACATAATTAACAATGGTGGATTTTTTCGTTTATTAATCAGTTACTATGAACATGTCTTTCAATATCCCGGAATTCCAGTTTTTCTCTAGCACAGTTCTTTTCTTACTTACAGTATAGGTGTGTGCTAAAACCGCACAGGTTGAGTAATGCAAAATTATAATTAAACGGGATATTTTTCCTAATAAGTTAAAAATATTGTTACATATGCTTTAAAAAACTACTTTACACACCTCTGAACCATAGCCACAAAATTTCGCACCTAAATAACCAAATTTCAGTCGATGTTTTGTAAACTTACCGAGAAATCAGAAGATTTGAAATAGAATATTAAAAAAATTGTTTCATAAGACGTTATTTCAGAGTACGAATTCCAAAAGGTCATGAAGAGCGTATTTTATACTATTTTTGAGGTCTACAAATACACTTCACATAGCAAAATAGTCATTTTCAATATGTAAAAAATTATCCGGGGGATTGTGTCATTTAAACCTTTTGTTTACACCGTTGCCATAGAAACCGTGCCTCTAGTCGCTGTGTTTGATTGGAATCGGGTCCTGTTTGAACAGTGACCAGTAGCAGTAATTCAATTTTAAATAAAAATAATTAATTCAGTTAATGAAAAATCGTCCTGTGTCTGACGACAATAAAATTGTAGCGAAAAATTTAGAGAGAGCCACCCTCGATTTATTAATAAAAACATTGGTCGAAAGTTGTTTCAACAGAACTTACCACGCTCTGAAGTAGAATGATACAAAAAAAATAAACACCCAATCAGATTTAGGAATTTAACTCGTTACTTTGAAAATTTGCAATTGAACACCTTTTAAATTTAACAAGTTTTTACAAGATTAATAGAGGCAAAATCAGTCTTATTTTAGCAAGTACTAGCCCCGCCCATCCACCCCCTATTTTTTCAGAGCATACGTCATCTGCCAAAATAAGTCTTATCTTAGCAAGTACTATCCCCGCCCACCCGCCCGCTATTTTCTCAAAAGGTATGTTATCTGCCAAAATAAGTCTTATCTTAGCAAGTACTAGCCCCGCCCACCCGCCCCCTATTTTCTCAGAGGATATGTCATTTGCCAAAATAAATCTTATCTTAGCAAGTACTAGCCCCGTTCACCCGCACTTTATTTTATTAAAAAGTATGTCATTTGCCAAAATGCTAGTATGCATTTGCTAAGATAAGACTGATATTGGCAAATAACATAATCCTCTGAAAAAACAGGGGGTGGGTGGGCGGGCCTAGTCCTTGCTAAGATAAGACTAATTTTGGCAAATGACATATCCTCTGAGAAAATAGAGGGCACATCTAAAAAATATCAATGCAATGATAAATCACAAGTAAAAACTCATCATATTTTGGATATTTTGGGTAGAATTTATTCGGCAAAATTTTGAGATGACGGCATCAATTTCTTGGGGGGAATAAACAGATATGTTTGGTTACATACTTACAATAACTTTAAAACATCTGCAAGATTTCAAAGTACCTGTTCCTTTTTGCAATTCTTGATTTAATCAATAAAATAAATTGATTGATTCATTAATTTTTTTGAGTCACCTTGTATAAGCAAATCTAAAAAATATGAAAGCACTGATAAATTACAAGTATAGGCTGATCATATTTGGCACATTTTAGGTAGGATTTATTCAGCAAAATTTTCAGATGACGTCATTAATTTTTTGCGGTTGATAAACATACATTTTGATTAAATGTTACTAGGGTTACAATAATTTCAAAACGTATGTCTGCAAGATTTCAAAGTATTCAGTTTTGCAATTCCTGATTTAATGAAAATAATATATTGACTCAGTCATTAATTTTTTTGAGACAGCCCGTATAAGCAAATTTAAAAAATTTTCATGTAAAGTTCCATCACTTGAACAGTATCTAGTAAAATTTTATTGGTATTTCAAAGTTAACCATGAAGGTTGGACGCACATAAAGGGAATAAGTAAATACATATATTTTGATTAAAAATTTATTATGCTTATGATTGCTTTAAACTATTTGCAAGATTCGGTTTTACAGATTCAAAATTAAATTGCAAAATGTTGTTTTCTATTTTTGATTTTTTCCGAAAATCTGGACGTTTCGGATAAAAACTGAAGTCGGAGTCATAAACTACATGTGTAGGACTATGTTATTTTATACAATTTAGAACCCATTTACTACAATTTTGAACTGACGTCATCACGTTATTGGTGGGGATGATCAATCAAATTTTAGTGAGCGTTTTACCATCTACATGATATTCCTAATATGTATAAAAAAAAATTGGCGACAGACGGACAGACAGACAGACAGACGGAAACGGGAAACTTATTTCTTCGTCCTCGAGGGGTCATGAAAGGTCGAGAAAATGTAAAAGTAGAGAATCGACCGACGGACTCGATTACAATATCACTAAGTTTTTTTTCACTTTAAACAAAAAAAAAAAAAATCTGGGGAATTTTTCGTGATTGGTACAATAAATGTCAGATTATAAATTTGAAGTTAAATTTTCACAATAATAAATTATTAGTATTACATACTTACGATTTGTGAAGCAGAAGAAAATCCTACGCCCCCCGAATCAAAATAGCCCCCATATGTTTGGGCCCAGCAGTGTCTAAATCTAATCTTGTTCAGCCGCTCCAGAATCCCACAGGCCCGACTAGATGAATCACGTGGCAGTACCACGGTTAAACAAAATATTATGACAGTCAGCTTACCTGGCATTAATAATTATTAATTAACCTACCTTCATTTGTAAAGTTCAACTCCAATTAAAAACACCATTTCGTTTTTTTGACGCTTATTTAATAGTTATTTAACGATGACATTTTTATTTAATAGTTATTTAACGATGACATTTGTAACTGCCAATCTTAAAACATTAATTACACCAGTTCTATTAGCACTCAATCTGGATGAGCTATGAACGCCAAATTGTAAGATTTCGTTTTCAAAATTTTATTTTTTACGATAATCTGTATCAGTAAAGTTGAAAATATGGTTATATTATGAAATCGCAGTTAATAGAAAAGCATTCCACGACAAAAGTTCCAAGTTTCAAGGGAAATTTAGCCAGATTTCTTAAAGTAGATTTAAATTTTCACAATAATGAATCCAAAAGATTCGTAGACCGGAAAACAATATTTGTATTGTACGAACTTGAAAGTAGACAAAATGCCGAAAACGAGTCGTCCGATGAGTTTTCTAACGGATGAGTGCTCTCAAATGCCATGAAAAACATGTTTTATACTATTTTTTTACTTCGCACCTTTTTTCCACTTTAAAACAAAAATCGAAATTTTAAAATTTTGGGGAATTTTTTGGAGTTGGTACGAGAAATGTCAAATTGTAATATTAAAATTATTATTATAAATTATTACTTACGATGTGTGTAGCTGAAGAAAATCTTACGCCCCCTTGTGTCTACATCTAACTTCGTCCAGGCGCTCCAGAGCCCCACAGGTCCAACTAGATTAATCACGTGCCAGTAAAACGGTTAATGAAAATTTTATGACAATCATCTTACCTGGCGTTAATAATTATTAGGAATAAAGTGCCCAAAACACATTCAGTGTTACAATTGATGTGTATAACAACAATGGTAAAGTTTAAATCCAATCAAAATCACCATTTCGTTCTTCTGACGTTTATTTTAATTGTTATTTAACAATGACATTTTTAACTGCCAATCTTAAAATATTAATTACACCAGTTTGATTAAAGCACTCAAAATGGGTGAATTATGAACTATAAATTGTAAGATTTCGTTTTCAAAACCCGTATCAGTAAAGTTAAAAATATTGTTATATTATGAAATCGCAGTTATACCACGACAAAAGTTCCAAGAGAATTTTAGCCAGATTTACTTTTAGTTTTGAAATGACGCGATAAAATTTTGTGGTGGAAATGAATACACAAATTTAATAGTGTTTTATCGTCTATTCTTCCTAATCTTAAACTAGATTTAAAATTTCACAAAATATTGAACCCAAAAGTTTCGTTGCCAGACAGACCGACAGAAACGGGAAATCGACATTTTTGTATCGTAGGAGCTTGAAACGTCGAGAAAACATGAAATTATATATCTAAAATGATGTTCTTGCATCTTACTTTGTCATCAGTGCAATTAATTAAGAAGTGATAAGTGATAACTGATAAGTTTTTTGTGCATATATTTAATAAAATCCATTTGCAACTTGGGAGATTAATATATACTTAAGGATATTTTAAATGTTTCCAGTATTTGAGACGACATAACTCGCCACGGTGGCGTCAACCTTTCCTGTATTCATCACACGAAATAACAATTTCATCACACTATTGGCATGTAATAGTAAATTGTAACTATGTAGCAACAAATACGGCGATAAATGATAATAATAGTGCGTGTTAATAGTGATAAACTTATCTGTGTATTTATTATGTAAGCACGCACATACGTGTACCTACTTTTTGTTCAATAACGTGAGTCCAAAATTAAATAAAACAACAAACCAGCAGGTGTTAAAATTTAAGTACTTTTCCGTTTATTCGAATTTCAACCGTCAGTTATCAATTTTTCTTGTAAACCAAATTAAAAATCACAAATGTCACGTTATTAAAATAAACGAGCTGCAGATGTGTTTATAAACGAACGTCTCTTTTTTAGACGTTTATCATCACACGCAGCGCTTAAGAAGGCGGTCGATATAATTATGTAATTAACAAGCGAACCTTGGGGGCTACACACAATTATATACTTTGTGTAAAATTGATAACGTGAAGTAAACACAAAGTAACGCCACAAATAAACAAATTAACAGTTTCGCTATGGGAGGATGTTTGTGTCTATAAATAAAAAACTTAAGTGGCTAGACAACAAAAAGGCAGGAGACGCTTAGCAATTAGTTATAAACACGACAACAATTTGCTTCTAATAACCAATAATACTCGTATTCGTTTCAAAATTTATCAATCGATCTAGGTGTATAGTGTGTTGCATATGCAAATAAATAAATAAATTTGATTTTGAGTTCAACGTCAGCGCTTAAATAATAACACTCCAAGTAGTTTGGGCGGAAATCTAAAGATCCGTCTACTTTGTAAAATATTTAGTTTTATTCAGGAAGTCAGTAAATTCCAGCTTATTTTTATATGTACACTTAAAAATAATTTAGTGACTTGGCTACAATGTGCAAACACGATACAAAGTTTCAAAATGTATTATTAGCTTTGAACACAGTTGTTGTACACCCACTATTTCATAAGAAATGTCATGACTGCTCAGCTGTTACATATTTAGTGCCCCAAACTATAAACATGATAAATAACGTTTAACAAAGATGTTAGTAAACAATGACGATTTCCGCTATATATATCCATGCAAGGTCCAATACAAAAACATTTTAATCTTTGTCACTACTGTGTGATATACAAAAGCACAATATAAAATCTTTGGTGTTGCGCCTCTACAGCTACCAGTTATCTAAAAAATCAAGTCCAGTCTTAGGCAGTGTGTTTCCACTGGTCTCGTTTTCCTGAGTGAATTCTGGCAAGTCTTCATCCAAGAAAATCTGAATAGTTTTCTGAAACATAAAATTTTAATTCAGTTTTCAGCAACAACTTAGTACCTTAGGTTTCTTCTTGAGCGCTTGTTTGGGTTGAGGCTCCTTCTCCTTCTCAAACAAGCTCAAGTTTCTTTGGCTTCTTGTCTTAAAACTAAAAGGCCCTGAATGTTCATCAGTGTATGAGCAATTCTCATCTATGATGAGCTTAACAGCGTATTCAGTCATATTGGTCTGAATTTCGTTTTGCTTATACTTAAGTAAGGCTTCCGGTGTTATAATACTTTCAGAGAGAATCTCCTTTTGTTCTTTCTCTGATATCGTATGCCACAAGTCTTCATAAGCACCTTTAGTTTCTTGCATATCGACATACATACGTCGCGCCATGGAATTTAACTTACTGAAGTACTCTTCAGCTGCTTTTTCGAGAGCCATCGTTGCTGCAGGCACTAGTTTCAAACGTTTAATACAAAATGTTCATGGTTTGACAAATTTTTGTTTATGTTTACATGCAGTAACCTCGCCCATTACATTCGTGATTTATTTAGTGCTTTGGGGGTCACCAACCTAGCGGATGTAATATGTCTAGATTAAACACAGCACTCCTGGTGATTTTATCAGTGACATTGGTGTTGTTCAATTGGCGACTGGTCGTTGACAGTTGAGGTTATCTTTATATTATTTAATTGTGTGTTTAATTTTTACAACAAATACAAAAATGCCTAAAGTAGTGTCGCGAAGTATCGCTTGTTCGGACACTAAAGATCAAGAAGAATACGGAGACGAGAAGCCCCTACACATTTATTATTGTTTGTGTGGACAGATGACTCTAATTTTAGGTTAGGTGCATTTTTATGTGTCCTGTTTTACTTGACTAATTTGTTTTAGATTGTTCTATTGAGAAGCTTCCTCTTCGTAAACGAGACGGTGCACGAGTTTTAGATGGTACGAATCACGCTCACAAAATCACTTGCGATAACGACGAAACAGTGCACATTAAACGACCCGAAGGAATCGAGAGACAATATAGACTTAAGTGTAAAAAGTGTGGACTTTTGTTGTACTACAAGCACGAGCCGCAGAGTCCCGTTAGTTTTATAGTTAGGGGGTCTCTAATCAAGTCTACTAATGAGGGACCAATCACTGATATTTATAATCAGGTGGCAGTGGAAAAACCAAAGAAAATTATGGTCACAAAACACACCAAGAACATGGGGAAATTTAGTTCTGTTACCGTGTCCACGATAGACGAAGAAGAGGACGAAATTGAGGCGGTAAGACTCATTAGTATGAAATTAGTGTCAAAATGAGTCACTAAGGATTTTCTGTCGATCAAAGTTAACAAATCAATTTTATTTTTTCTTTTTTTACTTTTTTAGAGAGAAGTTGCTGACAGCTACGCCAATAACGCGCGCATCATCGAAAAACAACTTGAGCGCAAAGGCATGAACAAACGCAAACTCGAGCAGACCAAATCGCAAGAACTGAAAAAAATCCGTGGCACCTTAATAGACAAATAAAAATAAATTTATTGAACAATCTTAAATATATTACATAATATTTATACTTTACTCTTACTGTTACAAATTTAAGTTACATAATAAAAAATTTAGACTAGTCAACGGTTCAGTAGTAAAGGCGTTGTTTCTTGGGCAGTATTCCGCACTCTATTTTCAGTTCTATTACTATGTATACTATGCAAATATGTCGCGTTTAAAGCCATTTCCCTTATACTCATCGGCGAGATCCCCTCGTTCGTCCACATCCTGCTCATGTGTCCGTGACCCTGGGGCTCCGCCGACGACGTCACCCTATTCCTCCAGATCCCGCTGGTGTACAGCGGCACGTCCACCGTCGGCGCCGTCGGAATCGCCTCCGTCGAGCACGGCTCGCCTATCCTCCACGCCCCCGGCGCCAGACTCTCGTCCAGGCGATTCAGCACCGGGTCCTGGTTGCTCAACGACGCGATCATGCTGCTCTGGTTCTGCACGTTCTTGACGAACGCCTGCACGCCCTCTGGCGGCTTCCAGCTGGGGTTCGTGCACTTGAAGTGCACCAGCGACATCTCGACTTTGCCGTCCTCGCATTGGGAGTACTGGTCGGGGACCGAGATCTCCTCCTCGTGCCACTCGGGGTTGCCGTGCTTGCGCACGTCCATCTGGGCGAAGCTGCAGACGTCGCCGACGCCCACGACCGACACGGTGAAGTTCCTGAAGAAGTCGACGATCTCGATGGAGCGCGGGTAGACGTGGCGCCAGAGGATGTAGGGCGTGAGGAGCGGCGACAGGATGGTCTCCAGGAGGCTGACGAAGCCGTACTGGAAGAGCTGCTCGAACTCCTTGCGGACGCGGGCGGTGTGGGCCTGGCCGGACCAGTCGGTGGGGAGGTAGTGCGTGTGCACCATTACCTTGGTTAGGAGGTCCTCGAGATCCTGGGAGGTGGTTTCGTCGGGGGCGATGGTCCGGAGGACGGCCACGGCCACGGTTAGGGCTGTCATTATGGTTAGGACGTGCTCGACGGCGAGGACGTCTTCGTCGATGAGGGAGAGGCCGACGAAGACTGCGAGGAACGCGGTCGCGTAGAAGCCGATGTTCTCGGAGATGATGGTACCTGAAGAACGGTGAAGTTGTTAAAAAGGGAATTATATTCATTGAACTATATTTAACGTCAGAACTATAGAACCGGTTACTCTAAATTTATTAAGATTATTACGAAAATAATAATAATAATAATAATGATAATTTATAAGAAGAATAAAACGCTGGGCAAAATTCGTCAATTGATTCTTGTTTAAAGTGAGTTTTTTTGTGATGACGTCACAATATTTTAGCTAGATATGAAAAACTATAAAAAATGCGATAATAAAGAAAAATAAGATAAAAATAATCCCCCCCCCCAAAAAAGCAGTGAATAAAACGACACAAACAGTGGAAAAAGCAAAAAGAAAAAGCAAAAAAAAAGAGATATAAAAAAAGACGAAATAAGGCTATAAAAAAAGCGTCAAAACGGGGGGACAAACAAGCGACGTGAAAAGAAAAGGATACAAAAAAATGGGGGAAAAGGACGACAAAAAAACGATAAATAAGACAAAACATTCCACAAAAAAATGCGACCAAAAAAGGGATAAAAAGCGAGGAAAAAAAGTCGATTAAAATGCGATAAAAAAATAGCGAAAAAGTGCTAAAAAAAGTACAAAGGGGATAAAAAAAGTCAAACATAAGGTGAGAAAAGGCCATCAAAAAATTGATAAAAAACGGGAAAAAAACATAAGGACCACAAAAAAATTTGAAAAGGAGGTCTAAAAAGTGTGATAAAAAATCTAGAATAAATGGTTGAAAAAAAATTGCACCAAAAAAGTAGACGAAAAAAAAAATTGCACCAAAAAGTAGACGAAAAAAAGGGGACGAAAAAGTGGCCTAAAATTGGGGGAAAAGTTCCCTGAACAGGACGAAAAAAACGGGAACATAAGAAAAACGATAAATGAGGGGATCGAAAAAAGGTAGAAGTGACCCAGAAAACGAAAAAAAGGAAAAAACAGTGTCAAAAATGGGGGCATAATAAGTGATAGGAACCACAAAAAGGTAAAAAATCGGAAAAAGAACTCTCAAAACTCGACGAAAAAAAGGTGAAAAAGATTACAAAAAAGTGATTAAAAATAATGGGACAAAAAAGTAGCCAAAAAATGGGGGAACATTTCCATTACACAAAAATGGCGAAAAATGCTACAAAAGTTAAAAGGGGGTCAATAAAAAGGATAAAAAAAAATAAAATAAAAATGGTCCAACAAAAAAGACCACAAGAGTAGTGAAAGGAATCCAAAAATGACGATAAAAGATATAAAAAGCGTCAAAAACAGCGTAAAAATGGACAAAAATGTGATTGCGATAAAAAAGGGAGAATAAGGGCGACAAAAATGCGACCAAAAAAGGCGAAAAAGGCTTTAAAAGAGCGAAAAAAGGGCACAAACATCGATAAAAAAAATAGACAACAGGACTGCAAAAAAAAAGGTAAAAATAGATACGACATCCAAAAATGAAGACAAAAAGAAAAAACAGCGTAAAAATGTACGAAAAAGGGGCTACAAAAAAAGTGGACGAAAAAAAATGAAACAAGCCACTAAAAAGTAATTTAAAAATGGGGAAATAAGTCCCCTAAAAAGGACGATAAAAACTATAAATAAGAGGACAAAAAATTTCACAAAAATGAAACCGAAAAATGGAGATCTGAAAACCTAAAAACAGAAGAAAAATTCACACAAATGCCCTCAAAAGACAAAAAGGACTATGAAAAATTTTCAAAAAAAGGGTTTAGAAAAAAGTTCACAAGAAGAAGGGACCACAAAAGTGCAAAAATGGGGAAAAAGGGAGCTAAAAAAACGACGATAAAAGATCATAAAGTGGCAAAAAAGAATGAATAAAAAGGAAAAAAATGCGATAAAAAAGAAGAAAAAAAAGCGGGAAAAAGGTAGAAAAATGGATACCAAAAAGATAAAAAATCAGAAAAAAGAGATATAAAAATCTAGAATATCCGATAAAAAAAGTCGACGAAAAAAAGGTGGAAAAAAATACCAAAAAATTATAAAAAACATAATAGGACAAAAAAGTAGTCAAAAAATGGGGGGAAATTTCCCATGGACAAAAATGCAATCAAAAAAGGCGAAAAAAAAAAATAAAAATGGTACACAAAAGGACCACAAAGAAGTGAGAAAAGGAAACCAAAAATGATGATAAAAGGTACAAAAAGCGTCAAAAATAGCGTAAAAATGGCCAAAGATGTGATTGCGATAAGAAAGGGAGAACAAGGGCGACAAAAATGCGAACAAAAAAAGGCGAAAAAGGCTAAATAGAATTAAAACAAGGATAAAAAAATTGAAAAAGGGCACAAAAAAATCGATAAAAAAAAATAGACAAAAGGACGACAAAAAAAAATGGGAAGGTGATCCAAAAATGAGGATAAAAGGCAAAAATAGCTTAAAAATGGACAAAAAAAGGCAATAAAAAATTAAAAAAAAAGGTAAAAATGGTAACAAAAAGTCGAGAAAAAAAAGGTGAAAAAAGCCACTAAAAAAAGGTATAAAAAAAATGGGGAAATAGTCCCCCAAAAAGGAGGACAAAAAACATAAAGAAGAGGACAAAATAATTTACAAAAATGGTGATTTAAAAACCTTAAAAAAAGAAAAAATGGAATAAAAATTCAACAAAAATGTCCTTAAAAGACAAAAAGAACTACAAAAAGGCCCAAAAAAGAGTTTATAAAAAAAGCCACAAAGAGATGGGACCACAAAGCGCAAAAATGAGGAAAAAGGAGAAAAAAGTAACAAAAGCGGGAAAAAATCAGAAAGGGCTCCAAAAATTCGAAAAAAAATCTAAAATAGCCGATAAAAAAGTCGACGAAAAAGAGGTGAAAAAGATTACAAAAAATTTATTATAAATAAAGGGACAAAAAATAGCCAAAAAATGGCGGAAAATTTCCCCTGAACAAAAATGCGAACAAAAAAAAAAAAAAGGCTACAAAATTTAAAAAGGGGTAAAAAAAAGGACAACAAAAAAAATTAATAAAAATTGGCCCTAAAAAAAAAGTGAGAAAAAGAATCCAAAAATGACGATAAAAGGTATAAAAAGCCTCAAAAACAGCGTAAAAATACACAAAAAATGTGATCAAAAAGGGAGAATAAGGGCGATAAAAATGAAATGCGGTCAAAAACGGCGAAAAAGCCTTAAAAAAATTAAAAGGGATAAAAAATTGACAAAAAAATGGGTAAAAAAATCATTAAAAATAGACAAAAGGGGTGCAAAAAAGGATCCCAAAATAAGGATAAATGGCATAAACAGCGTAAAAATGGAAAAAAAAGCAATAAAAAAAATCTAGAAATAAAGTCGACAAAAAAGGGGCTACAAAAAATGATAAATACAAAACAAAAAAGTCGATGAAAAAAAAGTGGAAACTGGCACCAAAAAACCAGATCAAAAATAGGGAAAGAAGTCCCCTAAAAAAGGACGACAAAAATAAATAACAGGACAAAAAATTTCACAAAAATGAGACCGAAAAAAGGTGATTTAAAAACCTAAAAAAAAAAAATAAAAAAGGACAAAAAATGAAAGAAAAATTCCACAAAAATGCCCGCAAAAAAGACCAAAAAGTTCAAAATAGATAAAAAAACGACTATTAAAGATCATAATAATGTGTCAAAAAGAATGAAATAAAAAGGAAAAGAATGCGTTAAATAAAGAGACAAAAAAGCAACAAAAATGGGAAATAGGTTAGAAAAAAGGCTACAAAAAAGAAAAAAGGCGACAAAAAAGGAGGCTACAAAAAACACTAAATTGAATCTTTGAACAATTATGAATTTTCTTGCAAAAATCAAATTTAGACATCCAAGCTAAAAAATAAAGACGGATTAATGAACCATCTACACAGAAGCAAGTTATTTTATAAAATAAAAGTTAATAAAAGTAAGATTCTTAATCATCAAATTGTGGCGGGGATAATCAGAGACATTTTGGTTAGAGTTTTAGTGTCTACATTCTACATGATACTCTTAAATTATACTCAAAAGTTCATGACAGTCAGTCGAGTAGTTTCGACATCTGTAATAAAATCGCCAACAGATAAACAGATGGAAATGTGGGACTTACTTTTTCATACTGTAGGGGTTATGAAACGTTAAATGGAAGTAAAGGAAGGAAAAACTGTGATAAGACAAAACGGAACCTCACAATCATATCAAATTCTCATAATTAAAACTAGGCAAGCGCACAATACATTATCTACTCACCTAAAGGCGACGAAAACGCCGCCAGGTACTTCGTCGCGGGCCGATGAGCCCTCGTCAATCGTGCTTGTAACTCGTGCTCCAACTCATTGAAGTGCCTCAAATACAAGCGACCGTACAACGACCACCTTCTGATGGCCAAAATACTGGGTTCTTTGCGGATAACCGCCGCATAACTGAAAAACGCATACAGAATCTGCCACAGGAAAATAATCGGAGCGAACACCAGATTCGCCACCGCCAACCAAAGAATATGTTTGCCAAACTGATTCGCCAATTCGTGCCTCAAATTCGGCTTCTTGTACTCTTCGCGCAAGTGCCACGGGTGCTCGAACGGCGACCACGGCGACCAAAAGAACAACAACTGAATATTAAGCCTCAACCCCGCCGTCCAGTACACGATCTCCCCCAGAAATGGGACGTTCAGCCTCGGCGGCAACAGCCGCTTGTTCACCATAGCCACCAAATAGTTCTGCTGCCTCAGTATCCTGTGGTAGATGTCGAGCTCCGACAGTTCCCTCTTGTGAATACACATCTGCTGCTCCATCTGCACCGTCCGGACCTTGGTCTGGATCTCGTGCCAGGTCAGGTTGTCCAACTCGTGATCGTCCACCTGCGGCATCATAATAATAATAACAATATTGATTATTTACTTTTATTTTATTTATAAACGGGCCATCACCTTCAATGCGGTGTTGTAGAACTGCTTGATGTCCCAGAAGTGGAACAGGTGATAGACGCCGCGGATCGACTTGAGGACCCAGACGACGAAGGCTATGATGAGTGCGATCCAGGTGAGGGCGGTGAAGTTGGAGACGCACTGGCCGAAGGGAAGTACGACGTCGTGCAGGGTCACCTTGGTGGAGTTGCCGTTGCCGTGATGAGGTGGTTCGTCCTTGAACAGGACGGGGTAGTCGATGCCGTGGAAAATGTAGGCTGTTAGGAACACGATGAAGACGAATTGGATCAGTTCGAGGACCTCCTGGAGGAGCATGCAGAAGAAGCCGTGGCGTTGGTGGTATTGGTACATCCGAGAGAAGAAAGAGTCGAGATCTTCGATGTGGTTCCAGCGAGCGCGGGACGGTTCGGCGACGTGCACGAGGACGCCGCCTTCTTCGTCCGGCTCGTGGGTCTCTTGGAGGGAGGAGTAGTTTTGCATAGTGTGCTGTTAGGTTTCTGGAAAAAATTAAATAAATTAAGTAACTATAGTGATTGCTGTCCATTCATCCCTTCTAGAAAGTTGATGACGTCAGTATTAAATAAATATACCGTCGTGAGCAAAAAATTCTGGTCGTCAGTGTCATTTGATTGTGTGTAAAAAAATGACATACGGTACTTGCGTTTTGGCGTATTGATTTTGATGTTGTCGGTACGGCAGTTGAGGGAACAGTCCTGGAGTTTGTGAAATTGAAATGAAAAGAAAGGTCGGTAGAAAGCGGTGGAAACAGTTGTGTCTAATAGGTTCTTGGAAGGTATTCGAAATCTGGGAAAGGATAAGTATTACTCAGAAGGGTGAAGAAGAGATAAGTTTTACGACATGCAGGTGGAGGAAGAGAAAGTTTCGGGGTGGTACGGGGAAGTAATTAAATACAGATTATATACAAATATACGAATGCTATACAATTTTGTGGGACTTGCCAGCCCCCACAATTTCTTCCAATATTTCAACTAATTGTTAAATAACAAATGTTCAGAATCGCCAAAATGAAATATGGCCATTTTTGGATTCTCAAAAATTTGATTTTGAAACGAAATATTTCGAAAATCTTTTGGACAAATATAGTTAAGAACTTCCCTCGCCCCTGAAACACGATCAAATAAATCTAGTTTCTTACTCGTAAGAAACGTCACAAGTTTTAATTCTCGGTTTTTTTATAAAGTCGTGAAGATTAGATCCCAGGGAGCAAAAAATACTTGTTGTCACTTTTGCCTTCCAGAAAAATACGACAAATTTTAGTTTTTTTGTTGTGACACTCGCGTAAGTTACAAACGACCCCAAGATGCTTTAAAACGCTTTCAAAAACAAAAAAGCAGGGATCTCGAGAATTTCCTTGAGGATTAAAAAAACACTAGGGGCCCTCATGCATCTTCTATCATTCTTTAAAAAACCGACACCAGGAGCCCATTATTTTTTTTAATACTTTAAAAAACAAAAAACAAGGTATAGTGAACCAAGAGGTATAAGGTTATATGGCCATCATAAAATTAGTTGACCGCAAATAGATACCCCCTTTGTGTGGTTCGCACTAAGCTTACCGGTTGGCAATAAATCATCTTCTAAACATTTCTTGCTCATATTTAACAGGGCCGGCTTTCAAAGCGAGTGGTTATTTCGGAACCCTCAGCGGCTGCAGGTAGCAAAGAAATAGTGGAGTGGTGGATTTTCATATTTAGTGAAAGCCGCCCCTGAAGGAAACCGCAAGAGCCGGTCGAGCTGTAGTGGACTCGTTATTTACGACCCTAAAACCTTTTCTATTGTAAACAACTTAACTTCGACACAATGGGATGATTTTATGATGGCCTTATAACCTTATAGCTCTTGGTACACTATACTCTAAAGATTTTTTCAGATTAAAAAAGACACTAGCGACTCTCAAGAATATTTTTTTAAAAAACTGGTAACAGGGACTTCTGGATTTCTGCACATTCTTAAAAAAGGCACTTGGGGCCCCTACGATTCTTTTAAACTCTTTTAAAAACAAAAACATCCCAAGTTTTTTTATTTTTTCTAAAATAAAAACCATGAGCCCCAATTATTTTTTCAGATTCCTTAAAAAAAAACTTTCAAAACAAAACACAAAAGGTTTCGAAGATTCTTTCACACTCTTTTAAAAACAGAAACATCAGAGTCTCGATGATATTTTTATTTTTTCTAAAATAAAAAACCATAGGCCCCACAATTTTTTTCACATTCGTTAAAACAACCTTTCAAAACAAAGCATAACAGGTTCCGAAGATTATTTTACACTCTTAAAAAAAAAGACACCAAGGGTTTCCATGATTGGTTTATTTTTTATAAAATAAAACACGATGGGCCCCTAAGATTTTTTTCAATCTTAAAAAAAAAAAGATATTCAGTATTCGTCAAATTCTTTCAAACTCTGTCAAAAACTAACACCATGAACTCGCAAGAATTTTTCAGATTCTTAAAAATAAAAAAAACACGGCATTAACGACTCCTTAAGGCCAGTCCCTACGTTTTCTCAGCGGAATTTTCGCTCTATTTTCAAAATGTAATATCTCCGTTATTAACAGATCTATAGTTTTCAAATTTTAAATATATGTTGTCCATAAATTTCTTTATATAACGCAAGGGCAATTTTGTTAAAAACAGCTTGTGATCATATTATTTTTTTAATTTTAGTGAAATTTTTGCATAACGTATTTTTAAAAATCAATATCTCAATTATTAAATAAAATTTCAGAACACGGTTTTCAACACTGTTTTCAGCTTACAAAACTCCAGAAATCATACGAGATATATCGTCGATTTTATTTTTTAGAAACGATACACAGTTAAAAAAAGCGTATATCATAGAAGTTGCTAACTTTTATTTTTACTATATCTCAGTCCCAACAAATAAAGTCAAAAATAGACCTGGTAGAATTTCTCAAGTTTTGCAAGCTGAAAACAGTGGTGACAACCCCGTTCCAAAATTTCCATAAATAACTGAAATATTGATTTTTTAAAACACGTGATGCAAAAATTTCAACAAAATTTAAAAAATATATAATAATAAATTGTTTAAAAAAAAACTGCCTTCGCAGTCATGTAGTGAAATTTGTGGACAAGTTACATATAAAATTTCATAACCATTGGTGTATTAATAATGGAGATATTACATTCTGAAAATATATTGACAACACCATAAGAGCCAAACGTAGCGACTCCTCTTAAGATTCTTTCAAACGAATTCAAAAACCAACACCTAGAGCTCCCAAGATTTCTAAAAATTCTTTCAAAAACAAAACACAAGGGGTCCATAAGGTTTTTTCACGCTGTTTGAAAAAAAAAAAAATATATATATATATAGGGGGCCTCAAAGATTCTTTCACACTCTTTCAAAAATCAACACCTGGAGCCCCAAGATTTTTAAAAATCCTTTCAAAAACAAAAACACCAAAAATCCCCAAAATTTTAGCACATTCCTTAAAAAAAAATTCTTTCAAAACAAAATACGAGGTTCCGAAGATTCTTCCACACTCTTAAAAAAAAAAAAAGCACCAAGGGCCCCTAAGATTTTTTCAAAAACACGAAAAATTTCCACGATTTTTTTATTTTTTCTTAAATAAAACACCATGGGACTTTATTTACATTCTTAAAAAAATAATAATAATTTAGAACTGGTAATGTTCTTTCAAACTCTTTCAAAAACCAACACCTGGAGCCCCAAGATTTTTAAAAACAACTTAAACAAGCGAAACTACTACGATAAACAAATGTCATTAAAAATATCAAATATATTACATATATAATTACATAATTTAAAACAATTTAAAATTGGTGAACTCTAATGGTAAAATGTATTAGGAATATAGAACGCATGTATGTCATTTGTCAAAATTAGTCCTATCCTAGCAAGTATTAGCCCCGCCCACCCGCCCACTATTTTCTTAGAGGACATGTCATTTGCTACACTCTTATCTTAGCAAGTATTAGCCCCGCCCCGTCACCCTGTATTTTCTTAAAACGTATGAGATTTATCAAAATCAGTCTGATCCTAGCAAATACTAGCCCTGCCCACCCGCCCTCTTATCTTATCAAGTACTAGCCCCGCCCACCTACCCTCTATTTTCTTAAAAGATATGTCATTTGCCAGTCAGTCTTATCTTATCAAGTACTAGCCCCGCCCACCCACCCTCTATTTTCTTAAAATGTATGTCATTTGCCAAAGTCAGTCTTATCTTAGCAAGTACTGGCCCCGCCCACCCGCCCTCTCTTTTCTTAAAGGACATGCCATTCGCTACACTCTTATCTCTTTCTTTCATTTTTCAATTTTTAATTTTTCCACCTTCCAGTGTTTCGGTTTCACAATTTTGGGTTTTTCAACTTTAATTTTTTCAGTTTTTCAATTTCTCGATTTCTATTTTTTTGCATATTTCAATTCTTCTTAATTTTGGCTTTTTCGGTTTTTCAATTTTTCGTTTCCTCAATTTTGCCACAATTTTTAGTTTGTTCAATTTTGCAAATTTTCAATCTTTGATTTTTCAATTTTGCACATTTTGGATTTTCCAATTATCCGATTTTCAGATTTCTTTAATTTTCAATATTTTAATTTTTAAGTTTGTCAACTGTCTTTCGATTTTTCAATTTTTCGTTTCTTCAATTTTTCAAGTTCTCTTTTAATACTTTTTCGTTTTTTCATTTTTGATTTTTCAGTTTTTTTGATTCGAAAAGATGAAAAATAAAAAAATTGAAAAATCGAGAAATTGCAAAATCGAAAGAAAGAAACCATAAATTGAAACACTGAAAAACTAAAAATCGAGTAACTTAAAATCGAAAATTGTAAAATCGTCAAAATACCAAAGTCGAAAAACTGTGACATTGAAATATCGACAAATTGAAAAATTGAATATGTATCGAGAAATTCAAAAATTATAAACCGAAAAATCAAAAATCAGAAAACTGAAAAATCGAATAAATGAAAAAGTTTTAAAATGAAATCATTGAGAAATGGAAAAATTCTAAAATAGTAAAATTAAAAATGTGAAAATTTTAAAAATTGTTATCAATACATATTTACAATGAAAACTACACAAATTGTAAATCAAAAATTAAAATTGAAGCCCGCCCTCTCTTTTCTTAGAGGGTAATTCATTTGCCAAAATCAGTTTTATCTTATCAAGTACTAGCCCCGCCCACCCACCCTTTATTTTCTTAAAAGGTATGTCATTTACCAAAATCACTCTTATCCTAGCAAGTACTAGCCCCGCCCACCCGCCCTCCATTTTCTTAGGAGACAAGTCTCCCTAAAATTCTTTCAGCCTTTTAAAAAACAAAAATCCGATGAGTTCCAAGATTGTTTTAAATCTTTCCAAGATAACACATTAAGGCCTCCTAAGATTCTTTCAAAAACGAAACACAAGAGGTCCCGAAGGTTCTTTCGTATTTGTTAAAAACAAACACTAGGGGCTCCAAAGAATCTTTGAAACTCTTAAAAACAAAGACACCATTTGTCCCAAGTTTTCTTAATTGTTCCTAAAATAAAACACAATGGCCCCCTAAGATGTTTTTATTCTTTAGAAAAAAAAAAAATACATTCAGTATTCGTCAAATTCTTTCAAACTCTTTCAAAAATTAACACCATGGGCTCTCAAAATCTGCTCAGATTCTTAAAAATAAAAATGAAAAAAAAACCGCGGCATTAAGGATTTCCTTAAGATTATTTCAAACTTATTCAGAAACCAACATCTGGACTTCCCAAGATTTTAAAAAATCTTTAAAAAAAAAAGACACGAGGGACCCCACAGATTCTTTCAAACTCTAAAAAACCAACACTTGGAGTCCTCAAGATTTTTAAAAATTCTTTCAAAACCAAAATACGTGGGAGCCTGAAGGTTCTTTCACATTCTTTAAAAATATACACTAGGGGCCCTCAAGACTCTTTCAAATTCTTTTATAAATTTGGTTCTGCACATTTTTTTATGATAAACCCCTATATGCCAAAATAGGGATGGATTATTATGCTGTTTAAATGAGTTTTTCTTAATAAAATTCTGTGATGACGTCATATCTTTTTATAATAAATAATACCTATTATAATAACAACAACAATACTGTATTCCTGGAATTTTAGTAAAACAAATGAAATGATACATCTTTAAATTAATCATTCAAATAAATTGCTTCATTCACTTATTCTTTGAGACATTCTGTATAAACATTTCTGAAACAATGAACGCATGAGAAACCACAATATTTTGCACATTTTAGTTGGGGGTCGACAAAATTTTGGAATGACGCCATCAAATTGTTGGTGGGGATGATTCGACGACTTTATATTATTTTTATAACGAACTAAACTACAATTAGAAATCAAAAAATCTGCTATGATACGACAAAATTTAAATGCGATCATTATTCAAATTAAAATTGCGTTAAATATTGTCTGGAGTTCAGAATTTAAAAATACATTTATCATCATCGCGAGTCTATGTGACGTATTCAAGTAGAAAAAACTGTTTCATATGCGAATTTTTCGTAGAACATCACGTAGGCGGCGAATTATGTCTCACATCCCGAATTGGTGGAATGTATCTATGACGTCATGCGCCACTTTAAACTATTAATTTGGATTTAGATCTACTGTTTTAAGTAAGAAGGACGAGGATTGTAACTTTCGCAACGAAAGAACATCAAACTTGGATTGTTTTGATAATTTTAACGTGTTTATATAGCATTCCGTGTATATACTTTTACACAATTCTAGAAACTTGGAAGAAAATTTATAGGATAAAGTTTATTTTTCTGGAGGTTCGTGATAATAAACATTATTTGATTAATTTAGTCTAGAGTAATTGAAGAATAATACTGCGACCGTTACACTATTTTGAAAAAGACTATAAGTTTGCTGCCAGTTTTAAATACTTGAGTCTTGAAACCACATACTCACAATTAGAAATTCGCACTATAAAAACTGTCTGGGGGAATGCGCCAGTTGAATGGGGGTAACAATATTAACATAATAATGAGCAGCCACCGGGCACATTTAATCCGAAAATAGAACTATTAGTCGGTTGATAAATTATTAAAAAAACCTATTCAAATCAATATCAGTGCGTCACGCCAGAGCAGTAACCTGATGTACGCATTTCCCCATTCAAGTTTCAACAAAGACACAATATCTGCAGAACTGTTAGTTCAATATCCTGTTCTTATAAGCGAGCAAGTTTTTTTTAGTTCGAAGACCAGTTCCAAACAAACGTATCGCCAGCAGATAACAACCCTCCACCTAATTGCCTCATGATCTTCACATGATTTCCATTTATCGGGAAACGCATTAAGTCAAGACCCCGGCAAACACAAACACACTCCCCAAATTACATTCGAGTAAACCGCCCCCATTCTGTCAACTGTCAAACGACCAAACTTCCAAGACCTTCAGGTTTGTTGTTACACAACACAAAACAGCTGATATTGATTCACAAAAATACTCCTTTGTAGATACGCAAAGGAAAATCCAATGCGCAAAAACATCGCAAATGTGGTAATTATAATGCGTCAAAAATAGAGCGAGCGCATTTCTCGCCCGAAACAAAGACGATAAACCCTTACCGAGCATTTTCTTCGAAATTTTGTCCACACACTAGGAATTTTGGTAGCACTCCGACAAGCCACAGTCAACGCATTTAGGAAGAACTTGATTTTGCTGCGATTGAACGACAAGTTTAAAACTGTTCGTGGGCACCGAAACGCACGATTTTTTCACATCATCGTCGAACACAGAGAATTTTGAACGCGAAACTTCGACAGAAAACGGAGTGACAGGTGCGGCGATTGGCGGCCATGAATCGCGACATGTTAGTGACTTGTCAGGTTCGATCAGACGGTGGCGGCGAAATGCCACCCCCGGATGGAGCGGAGACATGTAGGGGGCGGAAATGTCAAAGGACGCGACGCGCCACCCCCAACCGACCCCGACTTGCGTCAAAATCCAAAAAAACGCGACTAGTCTAGGGGAGAAAAATAAATTGGTAGCCCTGTCCAGACGTCAACGTCATTGTATTTTGTGGTTATGGGAGATTTTCGGGTGCCACGTAATTTTGAATGAAAAAGCCACGATGGGGAATGCTGGAAGCGTCGATATTCCTGGGGGCGGCACGGAGGGCTATCACGTACTGAGGGTAAAAGTTTCAGCCCCCGGCTGCCCGTAATTCTAGACATATTTGTGCTTATAGGTGCAAGAAAACTCACCCGGTAGCAGAGCAGGTCTGCAGGCTTTTTTCGATTTTATAGTTGCTATCAACGGCACCCGACTAGACCAAGACAATGACACTCTCAAACAAATTCTAAAAAATGGAATGGGTATCTACTTGAAACCAAAACTGACACGTTTTTATTTGTATTATTCGTAGGTAAACAGCTTCCAATGACGATATACAGCAGCAAAACCCAAAGCGTGCGGAGTGTGAACATCGAACCTAGCGATTCCTGGGGTGGGCAGGGGCTCCTGGGTGTCAGTATTCGGTTCTGTTCCTTTGAAGGTGCCAACGAAAACGTGTGGCACATTTTGGAAGTGAACCCCGATTCACCAGCTGATTTGGCAGGTTTACGCTCATTCACTGATTATATCATAGGTGCTGACTCAGTTTTACACGAAAGCGAGGATCTGTTCGCGTTAATTGAAAGTCACGAGGGGCGAAGTCTCAAGCTATATGTTTACAACTCGGTTGATGACTCTTGTAGGGAAGTTACAATAACTCCGAATTCGAGTTGGGGTGGTGAGGGGTCGCTAGGTTGTGGGATCGGTTACGGGTATTTACACCGCATTCCTGTGCGAGGGAATCCGCCCCCAAAACCGGTTCCCATCCCCAATTTCAACCCGCCAGCGAGCACAGTTGCTAGTTTCAACCCGCCTACGACTGTCCCGTCGACTTTGTTCTCTGAGCAGAGTCAAGTTGCGACAACTGAGCCGTCCCCCGTTTTGGTAAATAGCGGTGGTTTGCCACCCCCGAGTACGATACCAAGTGTCCCGGTTATGAGTACGGTTTTCACCCCAAGTGTGACTACTGTGGGGGCGACTTACTCTGTTAATGTGCCTCCGCCCTCCTCCATCCCTCAGTTTTATGCAACGAGTCCTTTAAATACGACGAATTCGAGTATACAGTCGGTGCCGATGTATACGATCACGACACCGTTCGAACAACCAAGTAATTATGCAGTCAATACCACCCCTAATTTAGCCGCTTATAGTTACCCCCAAGTTCCGGTCTATCCGCAGTTCACCCCATCCGCACCCGTTACTGATAACCAAGCACAGTTTCCTCAAGTGACTCTACCTCCGAATACTGGAATACAACAGAGTTTCCAACAGTCACCGCAGCCTTTTATTTACGATCCGACGATCGCTGCGAGATCTGCACAACAGTTGCTTAGTGGAAATAACAGCACTATTAGTTAGGCTTTTTATTTTGTTGTCATTATTTATGTTCTTTTGCATAAAATTATATTTTTTAAATGTTAATAGATTAATGGATATTAGTAACGTTATTTTGTGCAGTGTATAATTTGATCACGTTGAATGTCACACAGTTTTTTTTGATAAGGTGGCTAAATTTCGTTGTCTTTACGAGATGGCATGGTGTATATATAAAGACTTTTAATAAAATTCTGCAACAAAGTAAACCTGTTTTTTTTTTAATACATAATAGTGTCTTTAATTTTTTAAAGAAACGCTTTGATTTTTTTGTGGTAACTGAAATCCACAGATTTTAGGCGACAATCTTGAATTTCAGGCAATTTTGAATTTAAGTTTATGTCGAGGTAGACAACCCGTCTTACACCAAGCGTAAACACGCAAGGTTGGTTGGTTGTTGGAATTTGTGGAGAAATCTTGTCCTTGACGTCATCCAGAAGCCACTTGGTCGTCAAATAACTTTCTATTTAGAAACTAATTTCATTTTAAAATTTAAAGTTGGATACCGTCGTAATTTAGTAAACAATTTCAAGTCTGAGGTTTTAAAGTCATGAAAAATTCCATTTGCGAAAGAATAGATCGTGGGAAGAAAATCTTAGAAAATTCCCATTAGATACGAAATTTATTCTGAAAAGTTCCAGAACATTTAGAATAATTCTTGTCACGCGGAGGCAAAGTTTTGGTATAGGAGCAGATCTGAGTGGATATGTTGGAAGATATTAAAGGCTTTGAAAACACCTTTTTTCGCGGCGATTTACAAATCCAAAAAAATATTAAAACGTGGATCGAAGCTGACAAACGCACTAAAAGGGCACCTACCTTGTTCTGTAGACCGCCTGCACAAGGGAACCACGTGTCTAATTTCGCACTTACGATGTTACCTCTAGGAGGGTTTCTCGATAACAACTGTGCTCGATAACAGCGCCAACCCCAAGTACTGGGGTTTTTGGCTTGGTACTTTGCCGCCCCTAACGGAAAGTGACCGCAATACATTTGTCAGCATTCAGCGGGAAAACAAACAAAATCAAAACAAAATATTAAACAAACTTCGAACCGGAACAGGATAATATTGTTACACCGTGATTAACAAATATTGTTGATTTTTTTTTAAACCAATTTTGAGACCCAGATTTTTGGAAAAAATCAACATTGTGTAGTGACACTCTACACTTTAATTTTGAAGCTGCAAAATAGAATGTTTCGAAATCATGCAAACGCTCAAGGTCATCGAAAGCATGATAAATCGTTAATCAAAATTTATCAGTTCTGCCCTACTCCCCCACCCTCCAAGGAATTGATGTAATCTTACAATTTTATCGAATAAATGTTACTTAACTGCTAAAATGTAGCACAGCCCTGAACTTGTAGTTTATGAGTCCATGTTGAATTTTTGTCCTAGATATGGAGATTTTTGGAAAAAAATTAGGAGTAAAATTTTTCGATTTCTTGATTTTTCAACATTCGAGTTCTCAATTTTTCGATGTTTCGGTTTTGGGGGTTTCCAATTTTTTGTTTCCACTTGATTTTCAATTCTTTCATATTTTAGTAGTGGGATTTTAAAATTTTTCGATTTCTCGATGTTTTAACTTTTATATTTTTGGTTTCCCATTTCCCCATTTCTCGACTTTTCCATGTTTCGAATTCTCGATTTATCGAGTTTTCAGTTTTTCAATTCTTCAATTCTTTGATTTTTCAATGTTTCATTTAGGGGATTTTTCACTTCTTGGATTCTGCAATTTTTCTTTGATTTTTCAATTTTTCCATTTATTGAATTATTAATTTTTCAATATTTTAGTTTAGTGACTTTTTCAATATATCGATTTTTCAATTTTTCGTTTTGATTTTTCAGTTTTTTTAATACATATTTCAATTTATCGATTTTTCGGTGCATAAAATTTTTGATTTTCCGACTTGATTTTTTTTTATTTTTCAGTGGTTTAATTTATCGATTTTTTAATTTTTTTTTTCTTAAATTTGTCAATTTTTCAATTTTTAATTTTTGGCTATTACGATTTCTCGACTTTTGGGCTTTTCAATGTTTCGATTTTGGGATTTTTCAATTTTTCAATTTTAGTTTTGCCGATTTTTCGTTTTTTGATTTTTCAGTTTTTAGATTTTGTACCTTTTCGTTTCTGAATTTTCAAATTATTAATTTTTTCAATTTTTGGAGTTTTCGACTTTTGTATTTTTAGATTTTTTGGTTTCCTGTTTCTCGATTTCTCGACTTTTCGATGTTTCGAATTCTCGATTTATGGAGTTTTCAGTTTTTCAATTCTTCAAGTCAACGAATTTTCAGATTTTTGATTTTTCAATTTTTCAATGTTTCAGTTTTGGGATTTTTCAATTTTTCGATTTTTCAATTTCTCTTTGATTTTTCAATTTTTCCATTTATTGAATTAATTTTTCAATATTTTCATTCAAGGATTTTTTCAATATGTATTTCAATTATTCAATTTTTCGTTTTGAATTTTCAATTTTTTAATTCAATTTATCAATCATTAGATTAGAATTTTTGATTTTCTGATTTATTGAGCTTTTCATTTTTCAATAGTTCAGTTTTTCGATTTTTCAATTTTCCAGTTTTTAAAATTTGTCGATTTTTCAGTTTTTAATTTTTCGATTTTGGGCTATATCGATGTCTCTACTTTTCGGTTTTTCAGTGTTTCGACTTTCCGATTTTCCAGTTTTTGAATGTTTCGATTTTGGGATTTGTCGATTTCGAATCTTTAATTTTTAGATTTTTTAAATTTGACGTTTTTCGATGTTTCAATTTTTTGATTTTAGGATTTCTTTATGCTTCGTTTCCGAATTTTTTAATTTTCTCGAGATATCGAATTTTCAGTTTTTCAATTCTTCAATTCTTTGATTTTTGAGGTTTATGATTTTTCAATGTTTCAGTTATAGGATTTTTCAATTTTTCTTGGATTTTTCAACTTTACCATTTATTAAATTATTATTTTTTCAATATTTCAGTTTAGAGATTTTTTCAATATCTCGATTTTTCAATTTTTTAATTCATTTATCGATCTTTAGATTTTTCGATTTTTAGAATTTTTGATTTTCCGATTTCTTCATTTATTGAGCTTTTTATTTTTCAATAGTTCAATTTTTCAATTTTCCAGTTTTTAAAATTTTTGTTTTCAATTTTTCGATTTTGGACTATTTCGATTTCTCGACTGTTCGGCTTTTCAATGTTTCGACTTTCCGATTTTCCATTTTTCGATGTTTCGATTTTGGGTTTTTCAATTTTTCGATTTTTTAATTTTAGAATTCCTGATTTTTCGTTGTTTGTTTTTTAAGTTTCTCGATTTTTTAAATTTTATGTTTTTCGATGTTTCAATTATTTGAATTTACAATGATTTTTTTTTGGTTTCGTTTTTGGATTTTTAAATTTTTGATTATTTAAATTTTTCGATTTTTTTACTTTTAGATTTTTTGGTTTCCTAGCTCACGATTTCTCGACATTTAGATGTTTGGAATTCTCAATTTATCAAGTTTTCAGTTTTTTAATTCTCAATTTTTTGATTTTTCAGGTTTTTGATTCTTTAATTTTTTAATGTTTCAGTAATGGGATTTTTCAATTGTTCTATTTATTGAATTATTAATTTTTCAATACTTCAGTTTAGGGATTTTTTTCAATATTTCAATCTTTCGATTTTTCGGTTTTTTAAAAATTTGTCAATTTTTCAATTTTTAATTTTTCGATTTTGGTCTATTTCAATGTTTCGATTTTTCGCCTTTTCAATGTTTCGTCTTTCCGATTTTCCTGTTTTTCGATCTTTCGATTTTCTAATTTTAGATTTACTGATTTTTCCTTTTTTGATTTCTCAGTTTTTAGGTTTTTTTAAATTTTACGTTCTCCGAATTTTTAAATTTTCTCGAGATATCGAATTTTCATTTTTTCAGATTTATGATTTTTCAATGTTTCAGTTATGGCATTTTTCAGTTTTTCTTTGATTTTTCAATTTTACCATTTATTAAATTATTCATTTTTCAATATTTCAGTTTAGAGATTTTTTCAACATTTCGATTTTTCAAATTTTTTAATTCCATTTATCGATCTTTAGATTTTTCGGGTTTTAGAATTTTTTATTTTCCGATTTCTTGGTTTATTGAGCTTTTTATTATTCAATAGTTCAGTTTTTCGATTTTTTAATTTTCCAGTTTTTAAAATTTGTCGATTTTTCAGTTTTTAATTTTTCGATTTTGGGTTATGTCGATTTCTCGACTGTTCGGCTTTTCAATGTTTCGACTTTCCGATTTTCCATTTTTTCGATGTTTCGATTTTTTAATTTTAGATTTACTGATTTGATTTTTCAGTTTTTCGATTTTTTAAATTTTATGTTTTTCAATGTTTCAATTATTTGATTTTACGATGATTTTTTTTGTTTCGTTTCTGGATTTTTAAATTTGTAATTATTTGAATTTTTCGATTTATCGAGATTTCAGTTTTCAATTCTTCAATTCCTTGATTTTTCAGGTTTTCGATTTTTCAATTTTTTAATGTTTCAGTTTAGGGATTTTTCAATTTTTCAATTCTTTAATTTTTGATCGATTTTCAATTTTACCATTTATTGCATTATTAATTTTTCAATATTTCAGTTTAGGGATTTTTTTCAATATTTCGAAATTTTAAATTTATTAATTTTTCAATATTTCAATTTATCGATCTTTCGATTTTTAATATTTTTGATTTTCCGATTTTTGAATTTTTCGATTTTTGAATTTATTGAGCTTTTTATTTTTCGGTAGTTCAGTTTCTCGGTTTTTCAGTTTTTAATTTTTCGATTTTGGTGTATTCGATGTTTCAATTTTTTGATTTTATGGTTCTTTTTTTGTTTCATTTCTGGATATTTAAAATTTTAATTATTTCGATTTTTCGAGTTTACGATTTTTCGGTTTTTTACTTTTAGATTTTTTAGTTTCCCATTTCTCGATTTCTCAGCTTTACCATGTTTCGAATTCTCGATTTATCGAGTTTTCGGTTTTTCAATTCTTCAATTCTTTTACAGGTTTTTGATTTTGCAATTTTTCAATGTTTCAGTTATGGGATTTTCCAATTTTTCGATTCTTCAATTTTTCTTTCATTTTTCAAGTTTTCCATTTGTTGAATTATTATTTTTCAATATTTTTGTTTACGGATTTTTTTCAATATTTCGATTTTTCAATTTTTCGTTTTGATTTTTCAATTTTTTACATTTTCTATTTTTCAATTTTTCGAATTTTTAAATTTTAGGTTTATCAATTTTTTGATATTTCAATCTATCGATGTTTCAATTTTTCGATTTTTAAAATTTTTGATTTTCCGATTTTTGAAACTTTCGATTTCTTGATTTATTGAGCTATTTATTTTCCAGTAGTGCAGTTTTCCGATTTTTCAGTAGTTCGGTTTTTTTTAATTTGTCAGTTTATTTAATTTTTAATTTTTCGATTTTGGGATATTTCGATTTCTCGACTTTTCGGCTTTTCAATGTTTCCAAGTTTCCTATTTTCCAGTTTTTCGATGTTTCGATTTTTTAATTTTAGATTTGCTGATTTTTCGTTTTTTGATTTTTCAGTTTTTAGATTTTTTAAATTTTACGTTTTCCGACGTTTGAATTTTTTGATTTTACGTTTTTTTTTTGTTTCGTTTCTGGATGTTTAAAATTTTAATTATTTCAATTTTTCGAGTATACGATTTTTCGTTTATTTACTTTTAGATTTTTTGGTTTCCCATTCCTCCATTTCTCAGCTTTTCCAAGTTTCGAATTCTCAATTTATCGAGTTTTCAGTTTTTCAATTCTTCAATTTTTTCACAGGTTTTTGATTTTGCAATTTTTCAATGTTTCAGTTATGGGATTTTCCAATTTTTCGATTCTTCAATTTTTCTTTGATTTTTCAAGTTTTCCATTTATTGAATTATTAATTTTTCAATATTTTTGTTTACGGATTTTTTCAATATTTCGATTCTTCAATTTTTCGTTTTGATTTTTCAATTTTTTACATTTTCTATTTTTCAAATTTTTAAATTTTTTCCGATTTTTCAAACTTCGATTTCTTCATTTATTGAGCTTTTTATTTTCCAATAGTTCAGTTTCCCGATTTTTCAATATTTCGGTTTTTTTAAATTTGTCAGTTTATTTAATTTTTCGATTTTGGGATATTTCGATTTCTCGACTTTTCAATGTTTCCAAGTTTCCGATTTTCCAGTTTTTCGATTTTTTAATATTAGTTTTGTTGATTTTTCGTTTCTTAATTTTTCAGTTTTTAGATTTTACGATTTTTTTGTTTGGTTTCTGGATTTTTAAATTTTTAAATTTTTCGAGTTTCCGGTTTTTTTACTTTTAGATTTTTTGATTTCTCATTTCTCGTCACTTCGATGTTTCAATTCTCGAATTATTGAGTATTTCAGTTTTTCAATTCTTCAATTCTTTGATTTTTCAGGCTTATGATTTTTAAATTTTTCAATATTTAATGGATTTTTTTCAATAGTTCGATTCTTCAATTTTTCGTTTTGATTTTTCAATTTTTTACATTTTCTATTTTTTGATTTTTCGAATTTTGGGCTATTTCGATTTCTCGATTTTCTGGCTTTTCAATGTTTCGACTTTCCGATTTGCCGGTTTTTTGATGTTTCGATTTTGGGATTTTTCATTTTTTTGATTTTTTAAATTTAGATTTGCTGATTTTTCTTTTTTTGATTTTTCACTTTTTCGATTTTAAAGTTTTAATTTCAATTTTTCGATTTCTCGGTATCCCGGTTTTTCGATTTTTAAAATGTTTAGACTTTTCATTTTTTCGATTTCTCGATTTTTCAAGTTTTCATTTTAGTTTTGGAAATTTTTCAGGTTTCCCAAATTTTGATTTTTTTAAATTTTAGATTTTTCGGTTTGCGGATTTCTCGAGTTTTCAATTTTACTTTTTTACTTATAGGCGTTATCATAAAATAAATAAAATTTTGCAAAATTCAATTTTATAATTTTTCGAAGAAACTGGCGATTTCACTTTGTCGCCAAGGTTTGGATCTAGTTCACCAAATTTGACCTGTTTGTCGACATTTTTGGCAAAACCATAAGATTATAAACCAAAATCTCTCATAATCCGACTAAAGAAAATGAAAAATATTTTACAAAAACTGGGTTTGCGACTTATCAAAGTGTGTTATCACCGGATTTGATAAAATCACTTTTACTTAGTTCCAACCTAGAAAGACATCCGAACGAAAACAACAAATCATTAACGGTATTTCGGATATCCACAATCTGTCAATAAATTGCGAAATCAAACGACTATAAAAACACTGATAAGTTCTTACCTGCACCAATAAACAAAACCCGTAACATGTCATATTTTTATTAGGTCTCAATAGTCCGCACTTTACAATCGCTCAATTTTCTAACGCTTTGTACAAGTTGCAAGTAAACAACGTATTTATTCACTTCGACGTCAGAAACACACGATTAACTTTAATCCCCTTTATCGAGCTATTTCTTTTTTAAATGATTTATTGAAAAGTGTGCACCGCAATAAAATGATTTATCACCAGATTTATTTCATCAATCACGCAAAAGCCTCAATCTAGAATTTGGTTATCCGAAAACAAATCACTTAGAAATCAAACTACGTTCAAACGAAAACTGTAAGTACCATTTTCAAACTTCACAAAATTTCTAACTTATTTTCGCCACCATTGCAACACCTGTTTTAATTTATAGCCGTATTAAACCATCGCACACTCGGCATCGGATATCCAACCCAAGACGATAAAAGATAAAGTCATAAATTACAAACATCAAACTTCGATAACACCGTTTTCGCTATAAAACAATATAAATCACTACGGTTTCAAAACTCGGTTTAGTTGGCACAATGATCAAAAACCTGTTCCGTCGCAGCAACTCCAGTAAAGAAAATACTGAGCAAAGACGGCCTGCCGTCACCCCCCAGCACTTCGACTATGACGAAGACATCATCAAAACCATCACCAAGCACCCCAAAACCAAAGAGTAAGTACCACTCACTAAATTTATCATCACTAACCCTTGTCTTCAGAGACGAAATGTTCATTCGCTCCGCCATCGAAAACAACGACTTCTTGTGCAGTCTACTCCAGAACCAGAAGCTCCAAGACGTCATAGATTGCATGTACCCAGAATCGGTGACACCGAACGAGATCATCATCAAACAAGGGGATTTAGATGGGTCCCACTTGTACGTTTCTGTGACCGGTACTTACGAAGTGATCCAAAACGACGAAGTTATCAACAGTTTTAGTGACGTGAGGGTTTTCGGGGAGTTGGCACTACTGTACAACGCCAAGCGACTAGCGACCATAAAGTCCAAAAGCTTTGGAAAAATGTGGCTTTTGGATAGGGTGGTGTTCAAACACTTGTTGGTGCGTTCGGAGATGGAACAACACGAAGAGGTAGTCGGGTTTTTGCAGCAAGTACCGAAATTGAATAGCGTACCGAAGGAAGTACTACAACAAGTAGCGAGTCTACTCAAGCTTGAGTTTTTCGCTACTGGTACTAGCATAGTGGAAGAAGGGGACACCAGCCCCGACACGTTCTACATTATTAAAGCCGGCTCTGTAACCGTGAGTAAGAAAAGTGAAGGTTTAATTGACCGGTTGTACCGAGGCGCTTTCTTCGGAGAATTAGCGCTTCTGAAAGCTAAAGAACGAAAAGCAACAGTGACCGCAGACGCGCCAGGGACGGAATGCTTCATTTTAAACCGCAAACAATTCCTGGAACATTTTGGCAACATCCCGGATTGCATCAGTATCAATTTCCAAATACAACCATACAAACCCATGGAAGAACTAATCGAACACACCGACTTAAGTCTGGACGATTTCAAAATAGTTAACACCTTAGGAATCGGCGGCTTTGGAAGAGTCGAACTCGTGCAACACTCCTCCAAAAAAGAACTCGTCTTTGCGCTAAAGTGCATGCAAAAACACATCGTGGCGGCCCAAAAACAACAAGAACACGTTTTCAACGAAAAAGATATCCAGATTTCGTGCAAAAACAACTTCATAGTGAGACTCTATCGCACGTATAAGGACCCAAAGTACTTGTATTTCCTCCTGGAGCCGTGTTTGGGTGGCGACTTGTGGAACCATCTGCATAAACACAAACCTCGCCAGTTTGAGGATCAAGTAGCCCAGTTTTATGCCGGGTGCGTCATTGAAGCCTTCGCCTATCTACACGAACGCAGAATCGTTTATCGAGACCTCAAACCCGAGAATCTTCTCCTAGATGCTAAAGGCTACGTCAAACTTACTGACTTCGGGTTCGCTAAAAAGCTCCAAATGTTTAAAAAGTGCATCAAGAAAACTTATACTTTTGCAGGGACGCCTGAATACGTCCCGCCTGAGATTATTCTCAACCAAGGACACGATAAAGCTGTGGATTATTGGGCTTTGGGGGTTTTTATTTACGAGTTGTTGACTGGGAATACCCCGTTTCGTACTGATGATGTGAGTTATATGAAGACTTACAAGCTGATTTTGAAAGGGATTGATGATGTTAAGTTTCCGTTGGATGTGTCTGTTCAAGCGGAAGGGTTGGTGAAGAAGTTGTGCAAGTCGACGCCTTCAGAGAGACTGGGGTGTTTGAATGGGGGCGTTATGGATATAAAGAACCATGAGTGGTTTGATGGGTTTAGTTGGGAGAAGTTGGCGGAGTGTAAGTTACCAGCGCCATATCGGCCGAATTTGAAGACGAACACGGATGTGCACTACTTTGAGAAGTTCCCGAAGGATAATATGGTCCCTCCTGACGACAATTCAGGCTGGGATGACAATTTTTAAATTTAGAACTGCAGTTTTGAAAAAAGATCTGTTTTTTATAGTTTAATAAGTCCATAATATGTAGCATTTGTGCAAAAAAATGTCCACTTTTTTGAAGAAAAAGGACCAAAGCGCCATCTGTGAATGCGATGAGTATTTATATAAAATATAATTTTCTTTTTGTTTGTATTAGTGATAAGACAAATTGTTTATGATAAGAAAAACAATGAGCGTTTATGTATAATCCTTCCTAAGCCCTTTTTGGTGATAAAAGATAATTCGGCTAAATTTATCTTATTAGGTTTCTCTTGTTGTAGTCTATGTATTTATTTCCTTAAATATAATTTATCATAAGTAATCTAAGAGTTTTAAGGAAAGTATACTATAATTTAGGCGATAAAACCGAAAGGTAAGTTCGATTGCGTGACGCAGAGGGGAACTGCTGCGAATGTTCTTCACCCTTCAAAAGTTCATATTTTCCTTTAAAAAATACATTTTGAACTTTCAGAATTTTTTCGTCTCAAAAAACAAGAATTTCAGCAAAAAAATGTGTGGTTTTAAATGCCAAATAATTCATAATAATAATAATAATATTACGACACAAGCTGCAAGGTCAGATAACAAGTTTGATTCTATGATTGAGATTTATAAGGAAACAGAACTATATTATAATTTAGGGCTACAAAACTTGAACCTAAATTCGAATGAGTGAAGCAGAGGGGAACTGTTACGAATTCTCGCACCCACCCTTCAAAATATCAGAGCCCACTCTTAGAGTTTAATGGAATTAAAAAAATCATCAAAATGAAGATAGGGTGGGTGGGCGGGGATTATATTTTGCCTATTTTTCTTAATATACATAGCCGTCTTTTCATAACAAGAAATTTAAAATACAAACAATTAATTTTTTCTTATAAAAATAGATCTCAGAATTTTTTGAGGATTTTTAGTCAACTTTTCAAAAATCACAATTTTTTTCTTTGTTTTCAAAACAAAAAACAATTTAATTCTCATAAAAAATTAAAAAATTTTCTAGAATTTTTAAAATAATGTGTTCTTTCAAGTGCAAAGTGTTTAATTTAGATGATTCGCCAAAAAATTAGGAATATTTCAAAATATTTCGTATTTTTGTTCATGAGTGTTGATTTTTTTATGTTCTCTTGCAGTATGAAAAGAAATCAACGTCATAATTTCATTTTAAAAATTTGGGATTTTAAACATTATAAATTAAATAATTTTTAAATTTTTATGTGAACCAAAAATTTTGAAAATCTTGGTACTGAACCATTAATACTTTGTTTTCCGAATCAGTTCCTCGAAAACTAAAAACTAAATGTCAGAATTGTTTGCGGATTTTTAGGCGACTTTTCAAAAATATCAATGTTTTATCTAAAATTTCTAAAATAAAGTGTTCTTTCTACCACAAAGTCTTTAATTTAAATCACGCGGCAAAAAATTATGAAAATTTCAAAATATTTCGTATTTTTGTTCATGAGTGTAGATTTTTTATGTTCTCGTAAAATACGAAAAGAAATCAATGTCGTGATTCCATTCCAAAAATTTAGGATTTTGAACATTTTAAGTAAATAATTTTGAAATTTTTATGAGAACGAAAGATTTCAAAAATCTTGCCACTGGATCATTAATACTTTATGTTTTTCGAATCAACTCGTCGATATCTAAATCTTAGAATTTTTTGAGGATTTTTAGGCAATTTTTCAAAAATATAAATTTTTTACCTAAAATTTTCAAAATAAAGCGTTCTTTCTAGAACAAAATGTTTAATTTAAATCATGCGGCAAAAAATTATGAAAATTCTAAAATATTTCGTATTTTTGTTCACGAGTCTAGATTTTTTATGTTCTCGTAAAGTATGAAAACAAATCAATGTTATGATTCCATTCCAAAAATTTAGGATTTTGAACATTTTAAGTAAATAATTTTAAAATTTTTATGAGGACGAAAAATTTCGAAAATCTTACTACTGGACCATTAATACTTTATGCTTTTCGAATTAGCTCGTCGAGATCTAAATCTCAAAATTTTCTGAGGATTTTTAGGCAACTTGAAAAATCTCAATTTTTTTTTTGTTTTCAAAACAAAAAAAATTAATTCACATAATGAATTAAATAATATATATCTAGAAGTTTTAAAATGAAGTGTTCTTTCTAAGTAGCCTAATATGTGTAACTTTTTAACTCAGATTATTATTATACCTAGTTTTCTTAGTCATTTTTCTATTTTCTATGCATTTTTTTTTCAACAAAAACCCGTATTTCAACTAAAACATCAAAAACAACGCTGAATTTGATTTTTTACCCCTATTTTTAACTCCTAGCTTCCAACTCGGATTTTCCTAAAAACATCAATTTTTTGGGAAAATGAGTCAATTTTCAAGTTTCGTCGTTTAAGTTTGTTGAGTCTGAAAAACAGCCCACTGAGGTATTTTCAAAAACACAAAAAAAAAAGAAAATGACCTGTTTTTAAGCCCATTTTATCTATTGAAACATCAATTTTTTATGGAAATTACTCTATTTTTTAAAAATGGAGGCCAGATTTTTATTCCAAAAATAAGGAAAACTACCCTGTTTTTATAATTTTTTTTTTAAATGTGAGCCAGACGTAACCACTGAATCTGTGGTTTTTGTTGAAAAAAAATGCATAGAAAATAGAAAAATGACTAAGAAAACTAGATATAATAATCTGAGTTAAAAAGTTACACATATGTATATTTTTATAAAATTGGAATCGGATTATCTATTAGTAAATTATTATTTAGTGCATCGGGATTATCTTCGTTAGCCCTACCTCCACTAGTTTGTTTATCTCTTGGTGTGGGGATAATAGAAATCTTAGATAAGAGATTAAAAATATCAGAAACAATAGAAGAATATAAGTTGATTTATAAATTTTATAGACAGTTGTTGCATTTATATAAGGCTGATAAAATAAATGAAAAAAAAAATAAATAAATACACGTGAAGAGGAATTTGTCAGTAATTTACCGCTGTAAGTAAATCAGATGATGTTGGTCCAACTAATGGATTATTCTTTATTTTAGATGGAAACTTGAAGTTATATTTATCTGTTGTCGACTTATTTGCAGACTCATCAAAAATTAATAAGTTATATGAGTTACATGACGCTGTTTTATATTTTCTTGATAAAAAACAAGGAGTGTCTCTGGAAAGAAGTAAATGTTCTTCAGGTCTAATTATTATGAAGATTCTTTTCGTAATATTGATATTTTTGAAAATTGATTTATAAATTTTATAGACAGTTTTTGCATTTGATTAATTTTATATTTAAATTTAGTCCATTAAATGAATCATCATTATCATCGTATGCTAGCAGAGTGTAGACGTGCATTTTGTCGTTCCTTACATTCGATTGCATTTAGGTGAGTTTGTTCCATATTGATTTGAGCCTGTTGTGAACTAAATAATTACATATACTGACGAATAGATTGGTTTGTTAATTTTCATCGAAGGAAACGTGCTCTATGTTTCCTTCCGACTTTCACGTTTTGCTAGAGTTCGTTATCATTAGTTTTTCTGGCCGTCGACTTTTTTGCCTTAATTTACTTTTCTTCTACTTGACCCCAAACTGGCCGCAGTGTGATTTCAGCACTTGCGAGTGTCGAAAATGGCTATAAAATGCAGTAGCAGAACGATTTTATATGAATTCAATATTCATTGTCCCAATCTAGGTATTTTGGAACAACTGAAAACTTTATTAAATAAACTAGGTTCTTATAGTTTTGAAACTGACTAAAATAAGATATATGGAAAAAATATTTAATTCACCAAAATTTTACTTAATTACAATAATAATAATACATTTTATACAATAGTAATTATCCTTGCAACAGATACATGGTCAACTGTATCGTCATTTTATAGTGAACCAAGAGTTATAAGGTTATATGGCCATCATAAAATCATCCCATTGTGTCGAAGTTAAGTTGTTTACAATAGAAAATGTTTTAGGGTCGTAAATAACGTGTCCACTGCAGCTCGACCGGCTCTTGTGGTTTGGTTCAGGGGCGGCTTTCACTAAATATGAAAATCCACCACTCCACTATTTCTTTACTACCTGCAGCCGCTGAGGGTTCCGAAATAACCACTCGCTTTGAAAGCCGGCCCTGTTAAATATGAGCAAGAAATGTTTAGAAGATGATTTATTGCCAACCGGTAAGTTTAGTGCGAACCACACAAAGGGGGTATTTATTTACGGTCAACTACTTTTATGATGGCCATATAACCTTATAGGTCTTGGTTCACTATATAATAATTCATCAATTATTTCGTCTTAATCAATTCAAAAATCCACCACATTACATTGACATGTGATATTATATGTAACTGAAAAATTATGAGAATCCAAAAAATTTATAGGCTCACACTCAGCATTTATAAACTTATTCCTTAAGACTATGTGATGAATATGGTCCGCCAATCCATTTTCAATTTGTTGTTCAAGTCTACAGAAGACTTGCCATGCGCAACGTGGAGGCTGCTTTCGATATATTCCCACAACATTTGTTAAAGTTATTCCAGGCAGCAACATTAAAAAAAAGTTAATTTGAATCTGACGATGCTGTGCTTCTAGGTCTGCAAAATGTTCTTGCGGGAATGGAAATACCCATCTTTTTCCAAAAAAATCCCCCAAATTTCGGGGAAAATCCCCCGAGTTGGCACCACTGTACTACAGCCAAAAGGTGGGAAATTTGAAATATTTGCTTCTTGAAAGGCTTGGTGCCTAAATAGAAGTTGCTATTTAACCGTATAATGTATGATTGATTATATTTACAAACCTTGTTAATTCAAATACAAATTTAAAGTTGTTCACAATGATTTTGTTAAGACTTAAAAAATGTCCACATAAAATCAGAAAGTCAATACTTTCAATAATAATAATAATAAAAAACATCAATGGTTTTCTTAATTTTAGTAGTCTAATATGTGTAACTTTTTAACTCAGATTATTATACCCAGTTTTCTTAGTTATTTCTCTATTTTCTATGCATTTTTTTTAAACAAAAACCACAGATTCAGTTGTTACGTGTGGCTCACATTAAAAAAAAAATCATAAAACAGGGTGGTTTTCCTTCTTTTTGGCATAAAAATCTGGCTCACATTTAAAAAAAATAGGGTAGTTTCCATAAAAAATTGATGTTTCAATAGATAAAATGGGGTTAAAAACAGGTTATTTTCATATTTTTTTGTGTTTTTGAAAATACCTCAATGGGCTGTTTTTCAAACTCTGCAAACGTCAACGACAAAACTTGAAAATTGACTCATTTTACCAAAAAATTGATGTTTTTAGGAAAATCTGAGTTAGAAACTAGGGGTTAAA